GGGTCAGTATAATGTGTCTGAGTTGGGTATTCATGCTTCACTGCGGCATGGTATCTCAGTGGGCTAGCAGTATAAAGCCAGCTTCAGTCTGGGCTAGTACAAGCAGCCGCACATACACGTACACACGCATGCACGTCGGCATATGAGCGAAATATTCTCAAGCACGACGTTAAACCCAATTGCACCTCACCTCATTTCCCAACAAATGTAAGTAGTTTAGCCACGCCCACCAGAACCGACCCGTTTCACCACTGCTGGCTGCAAACGGTATCACAACAGCAGCATAACAGTAACATAATGTAACATAACAGCGACATATGGTAACAAGAAAGTAACACAGCAGAAACATCAATGTAACAAACCAGGGAAAAAAAATGTAACAGTAGCATGACATTATCACGACAGTAACATTACAGCAAACTTGCAATAACATTAAGTAACATATCACAAAGAGCAACATAAATGTATCACAAAAGCAGCATAACAGTAACATAAAGTGGAATAACACGAGCATAAAAATAACGTAACAGTGACATTATAGTAACATAAATTAACATCTCCACGTGGGTGCTCACTTGCGAGTGTCAAGCTCGCCAAAATATGGCCAGTTAGGCAGAGCACGTCCATGAATACTGCCGACCTACGCAGAGCATGTCCATGAGAACTGCCGACCTACGCAGAGCTGTCCATGAGAACTGTCGACCTACACAGAGCATGTACATGATAACTGCCGACCTACGCAGAGCATGTCCATGAGAACCGCCAACCTACACAGTGTATGTCCATGAGAACTGCCGACCTACACAGAGTATATCCATGAGAACTGTCAACCTACACAGAGCATGTCCATCAGAACTGCCGACCTACACAGAGTATATCCATGAGAACTGCCGACCTACACAGAGCATGTCCATGAGAACTGCCGACCTACACAGAGTATGTCCATGAGAACTGTCGACCTACACAGTGTATGTCCATGAGAACTGCCGACCTACACAGTGTATATCCATGAGAACTGCCGACCTACACAGTGTATATCCATGAGAACTGTCGACCTACACAGTGTATATCCATTAGAACTGCCGACCTACACAGATCATGTCCATGAGAACTGCCATGCTGTCCATGAGAACTGCCGACCTACACAGTGTATGTCCATGAGAACTGCCGACCTACACAGAGCATGTCCATGAGTACTGCCGACCTACACAGAGCATGTCCATGAGAACTGCAGACCCATGCAGATTGTTAGTGGTTCGTGTGCCTTTAATACAGAGAGGATAGGTAAACAGTAGAGAGCCGTCAGAGAGCGGGAAGAGCGAGGACAGACCAGAAGAAAGGCAATCCAGGGACTTAAATGGGCGAAATGACCAGTCAATTCAGTGCCTCTTCTACTGCCCAAGTGTGAATCTGATTTCGCCCCCTTTCTCTGGTAGCCCCTGTTCATCAGCCCTATAAGTGACACTGTAAGAAACATAGCAACCTTTCATGTACGACATTACATCTCGTATTGTTTCAAGTGCTCCGGGGGTGTTTTCGGTTATCGGGTGATATGAGTGCACCAGATTTTGAAATTACGATAGGACATATTCGTTGTTTAGAATTACACTTTTTTCACAGCGACATTACAGTAACATAAAAGTTGCATGACAGCGGTATATTCTAACTTGACAAAACACAACAGCGACGTAACAGTAACAGAAAAGTAACAGCTACACTAATGTTACCTTAAACATAAATGTTGTTTTCTGACTGGCTTAGCCAATCAATGTACCCCGCTTACAAGTGAGTAACATTTTCTATGTAACCCGCTGGACATGCCGAACTGTGGGAATTCGTTACGTACTTCGTGTTTGGACTGTTGCCTAACATCGGGTACATAAACCAATGTCCCGGTCGTGACCTGTGAACAATTTATAATGTTTTCGTTCATTGGGTCATATCTGTGTACGGGGCGATAAGGTAACCTAGTGGTTAAAGCTTTCGCTCGTTACGCCGAAGACTCGGGTTTGATTCTCTACATATGTACAATGTGTGAAGCTCTTTTTTAGTTTAAAACTAAACTCACTCACTCACTCGACGAGGGAAAGCCTTAACCACTAGGCTACCCCACCTTCCGGAATATGAACAGTAACATGAAGGTAGTAGCATAACAGCATGGTCTTCCTGTTGACTGAGATTATTGAGAGCAGTCATTCAATCGCTGTCCAGATTAACAGCAAGCACTACAGTACTTTTAATAAAACCGCTACGTTAACATTGGTAAAAAATATGTATTTGTATGTAATTGATCCATTTGCTTCTTCAGCGAGTGTAATATCGGGTTCAGTGTTACATTACAGGTGACTTGGTGACTTTAAATCTTAACTCACTCACTCACAGGTGACTTGATATATGTATCGAAGAGCATGCACCTACGTCTGTAGCCGGGATTAAGACTAACGTGGCTTACAAGTGCCAGCCCACTACAAATACCATACCGCAATTTTACATTCAGGCACAGTAAAGACTCCATGCCGCCCATGACATTCTGTTTTCAACACAATGCTTAGCTCCAGGCAGCGTAACATCAAGTTCAATCTTTTAAGTCAATTCATATGAAACGGACGGGAATCGAACCACCGTAGTCCAAACAGATGTCTTGACTACTAGACAAAGAAGGCAGCCTTGCTTCTGTTGCCTTGCTGTGAAAACATACTTACTTAAAACTGTCATTTGCGTAATTTACCTAAAAGAAGACACAGATGCATGTATAACACAAAAGTCCTCTGGTATATAATCTCTGTACTGTCGCGCCAGTGGGCTTCACCCTTCTACCAAGCCGATTTTCACCCCAAATGACGAGTAAGCATTGTGTCAATGTGGTCCTGTTCTATGTTGACTGCTGTTTAATATTTCAAAGCATTTGTCATGATCACCTCGAAAATACTCGGCACATTGCTGAAGGCATCAGGACTAACATTTCCCATGGACTTATCTGCCCCTTATGACCTCTAAAGTCGGGCACTCGGTAGTAACGAACACTCCACGCCAGTTTCTGTGTTGTACACAGACCGGTACTTCATCATCGGGACTTCCAGCTCTGCTGCTTGGGTTGGCGATGCTTCAGATCATCAGAGCGAAATATACGTAATAAGCACAAAAGCCATCTTTTTTGTCCAGGAATATTTTCTTTTTGTACAGACCAGTACATTATTAAAGACATATCATTACGCATGGAAGAGGTTCAATGTAGGTTGAAACTTCATTCTTTAAGAATAAAGACGTTTAAGAGAGGATTTCAATGTAGGATAAAATTGCGTTCTTTAAGGTTAAAGACGTTTTAGGGCAGAATTCTATGCATGATAAATTTCGTTTTTTAAGGTAATGGCGTTACAGGGAAAATCCAATGCAGGAAACAATTTTGATCTTTAAGTTTAAAGACGTTTAAGGGGTGGAGTAAAGGGTTCATAAAAGTTAAGATGTTTAAGGGAAAAGTTCAATGTAGGATTTAAAAAATACTTGAAATAATAGAAATCCTGAAAAAACATGTGTAATGGTGGACTATTTTAAGTATAAAAGCAACTTTATTGACACTGACATTTTTACGTATGGCAACATATTAAGTATATTGCCCCATCATTATTCCGTGGTAACAACAACTGTGAACTAATGAGAGGTATATAACCAAGGTATGTTGTGATGAGCAACTTGTTAACATTAACAACAACGGGTAATGGATAACAAGCAGCATAAAGATAACTGCATGTAACAAGATGTATAGTAAGAACAATAAATATCACTCCTCTTAATGTGATAGCCTCTGTTCAGTTACAAATTGACGTCCCGATTTGCGTCACAATTTCTGATGCATTGTGATTGAACTTCTGTAAACATTTGCCCCATATAAAATGACTTAATTGGGCTAACGGTGTCCATATTGTTTGACCAAATCGCCTTTTAACGGGATCCTTTACTATTATTTATTCATGAATGGCACCCTCTCGCGCGCTAAGTGAACTGCTGGTTAATGAACACTGTGGGCTCTACATTCTCGTTACTGGCAAGCGATGCATTTAGACCAGCTTATTTTTCTATCCCCATAACAAACCACACGATCATTTCATAATAGTGTACCATAGTGTATTTCATTGCTACCAATATTTCCGCCGCCCTGTCGTTTCAGAGCTTCATGTCATCTGGACGAAGGTAGGAATATTTATGTTCTATATCTCTTTTCGTCTATAAAATCATAATTTTAAAATGGAAACGGTGAAGCATTAGGACGATTGTTTAAGAAATTGGTGGCTCAAGAACTTGTACATTCTTCACTAAGTTCTCAGAATTATATTCTAGAGCAGCATCGATGATTCTACACTCTCGTTACTGGCAAGCGAAGCCTTTGGAGCAGCTTATTTTCTATACCCAAAACAAACCATACAGTCATTTCCATATGTAAATATCACGGAATAATTTAATGCTATCGACATTTCACCCGCCCTGTCATGTTTTCGAGCTCCTTGTCGAGGGCACAAAGGAAGAAACATTTATGTTCTAATTCTATGTTTTCTTTTACAAAATCGAAAAGGTAAACAAATAAAGTCAAAACGTTTCAGAAAGACTCAAGAACTTCTCACGATGTGTAGCGTCCTCAATGAGGTGAAGGACCCGGGTTATAATTGGTTTTCGGTAACCAAAGCTTGTCTGGTTCAGACTCGATTATTTTCAGACCACCGCCATATAGCTGGGATAATGCTGAGAGCGGCGTCAAACAACAACCAACCAACCAATGAGGCGAAGGTGTCAGGTCTGCATCAATGCACAAGGTGGACTCGATACTGACCGTCTGAATTTGCTTCTGAACCGTTTCTTGTGTTGTGGCTCATGTGCCAGGTAGGCTGTCCTCATGATCGTAACCAAACCTTGACACATATGTATTTTCATGGAATAACATGTCATTCGAAATGTAAGAGAAAAATGATTCTTAGAATGTTCGTTTGATCCATGTGCACAAATCAAATATTGTAGTGTATTAATCTTCACAGTATCAGGTGGAATATGGTTTGAGTATGAATCAGTTATCTATTTTGTGTCACTACATGTGAATACATTGATGTTACCTGAGAACAATTCACAAACATACACGTGGCCACGTCCATCTGCACAAACACCGTGCGGATGATCGACACCGTCACCTGCTGTAAGTAGGTTCCTAACAAACTGGCCTGACTCGGTCAGATGAACCACATTATTCTGAGATTGGAGAACAACCAAAATGTCACCTGTGCTGGTACTTGTGATGCCCAGAGGATTTACCTGTTTTGTGTGTCCTGTCGGGGGGTAGGTGAACACAACGTCCCCTTCGGGTGTCAGGCACAAGACACGCTGTGAACCATAGTCGGACACAAGAATGTTTCCTGTTCTTGTGGTGCAAAGAAAGAGAGGCCTCTGCAGGATCTTTGTTCCATTACAGAGTGGACTGACTGACCTCAGCACGTTTCCTGTTATGTCCAGAATATCCACACAGGGAGGAGACTCGGAACCTGCTGCAAGTGTTGATGGGGTTTTAGGGATGTTATACCCCAGTACTGTTTGTTTGTTGTGATGGTTGAGAGCAACACCAGGTCAGGGTTGACTTCAACCGTTATGATTGTTTTATTCTGAACGGTGACAGCTACTTGATTGTGTTATAACTTTGTCAGACCCCACGGGTGACTATTCAGTCTGAGCTTGCTATGGCATGACTGATTATCTCTTGTATAGAAAGACTTCACACTCATGTTATTATCTGTGGTTACTACTGTATGTGTATCATGTATCACTAGCGCTGTCACGTCAGTAGGTATTGCATCACTCTGATCTCCTGCTACAGTGACGTTGATCGTGTCTCGTAACGCAGGTGTAGCCGCCAGGTCCAACACACTGTCATACAGAACGTCTATCTCACCCAGCTGTAGATCGTCCACTGCTCTACTCAGCTTGTCCGAGTCCTGTCTTAACGTGATCCTGGCTATTCTTCCCTTCTCCTTCAAGTCTGTGTGTCCGACATCCTCCACATCACCAGCATCACATCCCTGGTACATCTCATACACATCCATGTCACACTCAGATTGTAGAGTCTGGTCAATCAGCTCAGCCTGTTGTCGGTACATCTGTACTGATATCTCCCCTGACTTAATGTCGGCGTTCAACTGTTCAATGTGCCTTTCTGAGATTTCTTTCAGTTTATCTAAAAGTTCATTTGCCTTGAGAGTGATTGTTTCCCTCGCCTTTCTTCCTGAAGACTTGATCTTCGATTCCATTTGGACATATCGATCTTTCTCAGTCATGACATTCGATTTAACTGTATCGACTTTCTTTTCAATAAGAATTTGCTTCTGTCGTATATTTTCCTTGTCAAATAGCAGTTTCGATTTTAAAGCAGGCAATTCCGACTCTAGTGTCACAACGGACTCGCATTTTCTGTGATAGATGACACAACAGGTTTGACAGGTGACTTTCTTGCAATCTTTGCACAGGAATTTGACGCATTCGTCCTTGTGTTCACTACACATGACTTTTCGCTTTCGCGCAATATTGACCTCGCCAGAAAGGTCAAGGACGTCATGATGACGAGTGGATGGGAAACGTTTGTGCATTCTAGCACATCGGTCACACAGGGTTTCGTCACACACTGAGCACCATACAGATGCAGGAGTTGTCTCCCCTTCCGCATGACAGCAGGTGCAGTTTGTTGTATCTTGATGGAAAAAACATGAAAGACATTTACAATTTAGTTTGCAATTTCCAAATTACAAGAACAAAGGAGTTCATATAGAGAGGAAAGTTGACTTTTTGTCATCATACTTCAAGTACCATATAAAATATGTCAAGATCTGTGACTGATCCACCATTAAATATTCTAAGATTTGTCTCATTGTCTCTGGCATATATTTTTTGACGATTACTCTTTAAAATCAACAGACGATTCTGTTCATGCCGCATATACTAACGTGGTGGGGATGTGAAATAAACCACCCAAACCTCACCTCTAGATCCCGGACCAAAGGAGTCCAACAGACCCTGGATGACAAAACTTGGCTTGACGTCATCCGCCCATTCCTCCACTGGTCTGCCACGATCAGACACTTTCGTCATCTTTCTGCAGAATGGACACAGAAGAGACTTGGCACTGATGGCTTCTGGTTTGGTTTTGGTGTAGTTGATGACACATTTCCGACACAATGTGTGATAACACACAAGCGTGCATGGATTGTCAAACAATTCTGTTCATATGGTGCATGTGAGGAAATGTTCCTCCAGTTTCTGGGACGTTGCCATCTACAAACAGACAAAGAAACGCATTTCATTTTTTGTGATATCCACTGAGGGTCAATGGTCAGTTCAATATATATAGTATAAATTAAGTGAATACATGCTGCAAGATGGATTAAGTAGAATTAACATAACACCAATTTGCATTTAGTGTATACTTATGAACACTTAGATCCAACAATACTAAATTAAATTAACAATAGCATACGATAGCAATAGTCTTTATGTACTAAATTAGGATTTGTTTGATGGATGTATCAATAAACAAAAAACCTGAAATAATATCATAGGGAATTGGTTGTCAAAGTCCTCTTTATACTGTGACAGTCGTGTATCGCCGCGCTGATAGTGAGCTGACCTACTTTTGGGTTCTCATTTGCACAACGAAGGTAGAATTTTATCAATAGCTTTGAGCGAAAACAAACCAGAAAATATTTCAATACATATGATTAATTTTCTCAAAAATGAGTTCTATATATACATGTAGGTATGATAGAGTTAAGGGTAAAGTGTATCTATATCACAACAGACGTACGTGAGGTTAGAGAAGTGGATCAAGTGTACATAATCAAGACAGAACAAGACGGGCCCGGGTGTACGACACGAATGTGAAGCTGAACCAACACAACGGCTGAATAAGTAGCTAAATTTGTCTTTATAGACTCTCTACATATCTCTCTGTAATAATGTGACTAAAGCATGTCATTATTAGCGTTATATTACACATAAAACCAAGTAGATATCGACTGCATGTCACCTCACCTCACCTTTTCTTCCTGAATTCGCTAGGGCGGTGAAGAGGGAGATTGGACCATGTGATGAATGGCTACAGACCCAGATAATGAATAAGTTTCACAGAGTTGAATGAGCATCATAAATACTAGTATATAACTTGCAGATTTATTTTTGTAATGTAAGAAGGAAACACATGTGATGGAAGTGTCGTCGTCACTTGTACTTCAACAGTTTGAAACAAATTCATTCTGTTTGTTATGAATATGCACATTGTTGATAAACACTTACATTTTAATGATCATTTGACTTTAGCAAGCCCGTAGAAAGCCATTTTTTCTTGTAAGCCCGATAGTTTGCAAGGCTTTACACTTAGATAGTATGAAAGATGATATGAAGGACCTTGTTCTAACCTCTTGTTTTGTTCCCTTAAAATGGGCACATGCTGGGCTGTATGGTAGTCATGCAACTTTCCCCATCTTACTAAGCTGCACAAGCTGATAACTACACTGCCTAATGATGTCTATAGCTAACCAAGATATATGTAAATATCGAGTGTTAGGTATCTGATTTTGTGATTACTTTCAAAGCAAAAAGAAATAGTTTCAGTCTATTTCCTCTTCAACAGAAACTTACAGAAACACAGTTTGAATACACAATGCCATTCAGAAAGTGTTGTCTAACGATTACACTTTCTCAGTAGAGAAAAGATTCTAGTATTTTGTGGAGTACCATCCGAGATTCCAAGCCACACTCTCACAGTCAATCACCTAATTGCTAGCTTTAAAATTCATAACATTCTTACTTTCGCGGCTTCAACAAAAAATGGAAGTCGGACAAAAGGTGTACGAAAATGTATCGAATCAATAATGAAGCTGACTTAGACCATGAAGTTAACTGTTTCGTGGTATGATGTAAGGGAAGCAGCTCTTACCGTCTTATTATGCCATCCAACCTGCTATCTGCACACTTAAGGAATTCACATGTCAGTCTCTTTAACTGATCCCGATTATTTCCATGTCCTCAAATGGACGGAAAACTCACACTCTCAGAGTCATTCATCTAATGACTGCGGATTCCACAAAATATTGGAGTCTGCAGACTGTCTAGATCACGTAGTTTGTGATGATTACACAAAGCCAGATACTGAGTAAGTAATTGTGTGTCAGTACTGCTTGTCGGTTTGGGTCAAATGATACCGATAAATCACAATCTAACACCATATCGGTTCATGATCAAACACTCATTTCAACACAGTGTGTGATGAAAACATCAGAACAACTATGCAACAATTTTCATAACGTTTGTCTCAAAATAAAACAAATTACTTTACAAACTATCATTATTTTGTTTGAAGATTTAGAAGGGTAACAGTGGCACTGTTGCAGGAACAGCCTCAAGGGAGGGGACCACGTGCACTTGGGACGTCACATCAAGCATAGCCAATCGTTTTTATTAACACGGTACATGAGACAATGAAATTCACCTCTGACATCAGGCCCATTATTTTCAAAGTTCATGACTTTTTTTAAGGCGAAAGTTAAAGGGGCCTCCTTAAATATGCCCTGGGAAAATTTGTTGAACGCACTGCATGTGCAGCTGATATGAAAGGGTTCACGCATTGTAAACATATTTCGAATCGAACTCCGGTCTTCAGCATGATGGGTGAATACTTAACCACACGGCCACCCCTACCTTAAATAGTTGGGTGATTTGATTGTGACATAGTATGTTTTCAGTCAGTAAAATATATGTGTTAACCTAAGAACAATATATTGTTTTCTCTCTGTAGGTTCTGGGAAACACAGTCCTTCCGCATCTCTTGTTTGTGGCTTTTAAGAGGATCGGATTTTGTGTCTCGGATTGATTCCCCCGAGATGTCGCTCATGCTATCAATCATTGGTCTAGACTCGAGTATCTACAGGCCGCCCTCCTATATCTGGAGCGTCAATGCATGCGGCGCAAAACAACACACAAATGTCATCGCCATTTACTGCCTTCCCCTCACAAAGTTGATAGACATTGTTAAACAGCCTTGGGCTTGTATTGCAATGTTTCTAGTAAGATTCAGTTGAGGGTGGGTACTATAGTTACCATGACGACGTACTGGTTACATGGTATCGTTTTGACAAATCTTTAACAGGTATCAGTGTGGCAGTGTTTGTAGACATTGTTAAACAGCCTTGTGCTTGTATTGCAATGTTTCTAGTAAGATTCTGTTGAGGGTGGGTACTATAGTTACCATGACGACCTGCTGGTTACATTTACATTTTGACAACTCTATAATCAGTATCACGGCAAGCCAAAATTGGATTCCCGATGTGCCGATGAGATGTAATTCTGTCAAAGTGAACTACATGGTTTATATTACTGTCGCCACTCCTGGGCCACCACAGACAACAAAGAAGTTGTTATCCATGAAAATGTTTACACTGCGACTTAGTGAGGCAGAGCTGACTTTGTTTCCTCAAGTAGTCGACAGGTCTGTTAAATCACCAGTCTCTAATGATAGCGACAGTTATTATCGTCATACTGAAGTAACAAACGCTACACCGACACTCGTCTTTCTCACATGTATTCAAGTACCTCTGTGTCAACTCAAATATATTTAGGTACCATCACATGTTCTTTACACATATACCAAAGTGCCTCTGTGTCAACTCAAATATATTTAGGTACCGACACGTGTACTTTGTGACAGTTAAAGTGCCCGGTAACATTGGAATAACTCTGCTCCGCCACTTGCTCTTTATATATATACTCAAGTACCTCTCTGTATACTCAAATATATCCAGGTACTTCTGTGTACACTATATACACAAAGTATATTTATTTACACAAAGGCATCCCGGTACATTTATATACACAAAAGTACCTTGGTTTCCTTGTATACACAAATGTGCCCTGTTACATAGTGATTAAAGCAATTGCTTGTCACGCTGACGATCCGGGTTCGATTCACTTAACAGGAACAATGTGTGATGCCCATTTCTGGTGTCCCCGCCCGTCATATTGCTCGAAGTTTGCTACAACCGTCGTAACACCTTATTTTGTGTACAAAGACTGCTTTCGTACCGCTACATAGAGATACCACGGGCAGCTTTCTGTACAAGAAATTGCGTAGGTGATTCTATATACACTGAGTCTCTCTGAGTCTCTCTCTCTCTCTCTCTCTCTCTCTCTCTCTCTCTCTCTCTCTCTCTCTCTCTCTCTCTCTCTCTCTCTCTCTCTCTCTCTCTCTCTCTCTCTCTCTCTCTCTCTCTCTCTCTCTCTCTCTCTCTCTCTCTCTCTCTCTCTTCGAACATCTGGTATCGTCGTTGTTTGGTATTATATCATGGAACATTTGTACACAACATTCCGGTTGTAGCATATATTTCCTATGATTATGGACTTTGAATTGTCGCTTTTATTTGTAAAGTAGTGCTCAAAAGAAAATATACAGTGTGTTTGACCAAACTTGAACAGAAAAACAAACATATATAAATGAACAGTATTCAATTCTACAACACAATTTAATTTCATGCAAAGTCAAAAGTACCGTTTGATTGACACTGAAACACCCGTGGTATCAATGTCTGAAATCTTACACAAATCAACGTTTATTCTGCAAAGTGTCCTCAAATGTTGAATCAGTAGTAAGTGTGGCCACCATTGGCTTCAGTACACTCCAAAACACGTCGACGCATTGATGACGTAAGACAACGAATGACGTTAGGCGTGATACGTTGCCATTTCTGTAGGAGACATTGGCCCAGTTGTTGAGCAGTGACATGTGGCGCTAGTAGTCTTCTGATTTGTCCATTTAGGTAGTTCCATAAGTGTTCTTTATCTTTAGGAACTCATGCATAGTATAGTGCATAACATTACCTCTCGTTTAATGTTTATGTAGCCCTTAATGATTGCTATTGATTCTCTTATTCGTTAAGTTTCGGTATTGATCAGCTCTCATATCCACAAGTCACTGAGGTTTTGCATTTAATGCAAAATAATACATTACATAGTAAACACTATCAGTTTTGCCTCATCTGTATACATGTATAAAGTATCTTCAAACAGTTCAGACAATCGTTGCATTTTTTTTCTCATCTCCAACTTCAACCAGCAAGAGATGTTTTTTGACTCTCGTAATTTATTTATCAACATGAAGAGTACTCCATCTTCAGTTACTAAGGATTACAGGAATGAACTAAATTCTAATTTAGATTTAAACACATACCAACAGAGTGCACTAAAATCAAAACTTTAAACCAATCTTTTGATGTTGATATGCGTCAATTAATATGATAGATTTGTTCTGTGTTCAAACATACATGTGCAATTAGATTGATATTTTCAAAATTAATTTCAGTGCCAGAAGGGGCAGACGTCTGGCACATAATATCAGTCGTTAATAACTTAATCTCTGGATGTTGGCTGCGTACTTGTGTTGTTGACAAGCAGGGAAGAAACTGTACTGGCTTGGAACAGCCTGTGTAAAAGTAGACTATGTGTGCATGTCTACGGTCCACTTATGATCCATGTGCACCAATCAAACATTGTCGTGTATTAATCTTCACAGTATCAGGTGGAATATGGTTTGAGTATGAATCAGTTATCTATTCTGTGTTACTACATGTGAATACTTTGATGTTACCTGAGATGTAATCACAGACATACACATGGCCACGTCCATCTGCACAAACACCGTGCGGACGATCGACACCGTCACCTGCTGTAAGAACGTTCCTAACAAACTGGCCTGACTCAGTCAGATGAACCACATCAGATTGGAGAGCAACCAAAATGTCACCTGTGTTGGTACTTGTGATCCCCAGAGGATGCACCTGTGTTGTGTGTCCTGTCGGGGGGTAGGTGAACACAACGTCCCCTTCAGGTGTCAGGCACAAGACACGCTGGGAGCCATAGTCGGACACAAGAATGTTTCCTGTTCTTCTGGTGCAAAGAAAGTACGGATATTTCAGGATCTTCGTTCCACTACAGAGTGGGCTGACTGACCTCAGTACGTTTCCTGTCATGTCCAGAATATCCACACAGTGAGGAGACTCGGAACCTGCTGCAAGTGTTGATGGGGTCAGGGATGTTATACCCCAGTACTGTTTGTTTGTTGTGATGGTTGACAGCAGCACCAGGTCAGGGTTGACTTCAACCGTTATGATCGCTTTATTCATTACAGTGACAGCCACTTGATTGTGTTGTAACTTTGTCAGACCCCACGGTTGACCATCCAGTCTGAGCTTGCTATGGCATAACTGATTATCTCTGGTATAGAAGGACTTCACACTCATGTTATTATCTGTGGTTACAATTGTATGTGTATCATGTATCACTAACGCTGTCACGTCAAGAGGCCATGCATCACTCTGTTCTCCTGCTACAGTGACGTTGATCGTGTCTCGTAACACAGGTGTAGCCACCAGGTCCAACACACTGTCATACAGAACGTCTATCTCACCCAGCTGTAGATCGTCCACTGCTTTACTCAGCTTGTCCGAGTCCTGTCTGAACGTGATCCTGGCTATTCTTCCCTTCTCCTTCACGTCTGTGTGTCCGACATCCTCCACATCACCGGCATCACATCCCTGGTACATCTCATACAGATCCATGTCACACTCAGATTGTAGAGTCAGGTCAATCAGTTCAGCCTGTTGTCGGTACATCTGTACTGATATCTCCCCTGACTTAATGTTGGCGTTCAACTGTTCAATGTGCCTTTCTGAGATTTCTTTCAGTTCAACTAAAAGTTCATTTTCCTTGAGAGTGATTGTTTCCCTCGCCTTTCTTCCGGAGGACTTGATCTTCGATTCCATTTGGACATATCGATCTTTCTCAGTCATGACATTCGATTTAACTGTATCGAGCTTCTTTTCAATAAGAATTTGTTTCTGTCGTAGGTTTCCTTGTCATTCAGCAGCTTGGATTTTAAAGCAGGCAATTCCGACTCAAGTGTGACAACTGACTCACATTTTCTGTGATAGATAATACAACAGGTTTGGCAGGTGAGTTTCTTGCAGTCTTTGCACAGGAATTTGACACACTCATCTTTGTGTTCATTACACATGATTTTTAGCTTCCGGGGGGATATTGACCTCTCCAGAAAGGTCAATTACGTCATGGTGACGAGTGGATGGCAGACGTTTGTGTATTCTAGCACACCGGTCACACATGGATTCGTCACACACCGAGCACCATACAGATGCAGGAGTTGTCTCCCCTTCCGGTTACACCAGGTGCAGTTTGTTGTATCTTGACGAAAACAAAAACAAAAACATTGAAAGAAATTCAGTATTTAATTGGCATATTTTAATTACCAAAACGAAGGAGTTCATTAAAGATGAAAGGTTACACTTATTGTCATCCTTTAATTACCATATATAACATGTCCTGATCTATGACGGATCTACCATTAAATATTCTAGGGTTGGTTGGCTGGATTATCAGATTATACTATTAGAGACCATGTAGTTTATCAGTCCCTGCTTCGAAACATGCAATTGCTTTTCAGGAGATCCTGGAAATCGAGAAATCGAACGTGGTGTTTTTTGTTGAGGCAAAACCGGATAATAAATAATCCTTTCCAGACCAGCATTGTCCCTAACATGTGTTTTGGGCAACTAATCCCTTAAAATCCCTTGGAACAATTTGAAAGTAAAGGAAAAGAAAACATATCCCAGTTGCCATTTATAGACATTGAAGATAAAGATTTGACGGTATCAGAAAGTTTTGGTATGCCGAAGTGTGGGTTCTGAATTTGACAGGTGTTTCCGGTAGAGAAGAACATGCTTACTCGTTTGGCGAACACCTGGTGTCAACACTGATTTCCAGAATTCAATCCAGTTGTTCACAAGATTTTCGCATTCATTTCGCGAACACTTTGTGTCATCACTGATCTCTAGTGATCAATTCAGTGATTCACAAGAGTTTCGCAGATAATATGTGCTTTAAACCAAAATGAATCTGACACATAACATTTAGAAGTAGTCCACAGACGATCCTGCTCATACCGCATATGCTAATGCGGTGGGGATGTGAAATAAAAATCCCAAAACTCACCTCTAGATCCAGGACCAAAGGAGTCCAACAGTCCCTGGATGACAAAACTTGGCTTGACATCATCCGCCCATTCCTCCACTGGTCTGCCAGGTTCAGACACTTTCGTCATTTTGATGCAGAATGGACACAGAAGAGACTTGGCACTGATGGCTTCTGGTTTGGTTTTGGTGTAGTTGACGACACATTTCCGACAGAATGTGTGATAACACACAAGCGTGCATGGATTGTCAAACACATCTGTGCATATGGTGCATGTGAGGAAATGTTCCTCCAGTTTCTGGGACGTTGCCATCTACAAACAAACTGATGGTCAATGATCTATTCAAAATTGGAAATAATATAAATTAAGAGAATACATGCTGCAAGATGGATGAAGTAGAAGTAACAAAAAAGAACACGTTTACAGGTTTGAGATCTATCGTATTTCATCACTAATTTGCACTTAGTGTATACTTATGAACACTTAGATCCAACAATACTAAATTAAATTAACAATAGCATACGATAGCAATAGTCTTTATGTACTAAATTAGGATTTGTTGGATGGATGCATCAATAAACAAAAAACCTGAAATAATATCATAGGGAATTGATGGCCAAAGTCCTCTTCATACTGTGACAGTCGTGTATCGCCGCGCTGATAGTGAGCTGACCTACTTTTGGGTTCTCATTTGCATAACGAAAGTAGAATTTTATCAATAGCTTTGAGCGAAAACAAACCAGAAAATATTTCAATACATATGATTAATTTTCTCAAAAATGAGTTCTATATATACATATAGGTATGACAGAGTTAAGGGTTATATCTCTGGAGTCAGTGTGTCTATATGACAACAGACGTCCGTGAGGTTAGAGAAGTGGATCAAGTGTACATAACGATAGTAGACAGAACAAGACACGCCGGGTGTTCGACACGAACGTGACGCTGAACCAACACAGCGGCTGAATAAGTAGCTTAATTTGTCTTTATAGACTCTCTACATATCTGTCTGTAATAATGTGACTAAAGCATGTCATTATTAGCGTTATATTATATATAAAACCAAGCAGATATCGACTGCATATCACCTCACCTTCACTTCTCGATTCACTGGGCGGTGAAGAGGGAGAATGAACCCTGTGATGAATGGCTACAGACCCAGATAATGAATGAGGTTTCGCAGCATTGAATGACCATCATAAATGCTAGTATGTAACTTGCAGATTTATTTTTGTAATGTAAGAAGGAAACACATGTGATGGAAGTGTCGTCGTCACTTGTACTTCAACAGTTTGAAACAAATTCATTATGTTTGTTATGAATATGCACATTGTTGATAAACTTACATTTTCAATGATCATTTGACTTTAGCAAGCCCGTAGAAAGCCATTTTTCCTTGTAAGCCCGATAGTTTGCAAGGCTTTACACTTAGATAGTATACGAGCGCTTGACCAACCTATTTAAGCACAATTATGTGTAAGCCCGGGCTTTTTTTTATAATGGTAGCTACGCCCCTATTTAGTGAACATATTTGTGGTTACTATCAATAAACTCCGTACATGTTGTGCCTGAGTTTGAGGTAATGGCTAACTTTAGTTTTTGTACACTAACAACATCAATATTCAGCCATATCACGGCAGGAAGATACCTGAAACTGGCATAACGCATTGTACTATCTGAGTAATAGAACCCAGGTCTTCTTCGTGATGACCCAACTATTTAACCACGAGGCTACCCTGCTATCCCTGACGATATGAAGGACCTTGTTCTAGCCTCTATATAAATATCGAGTGTTAGGTATCTGATTTGTGATTACTTTAAAAGCAAAAAGAAATAGTTTCAGTCTGTTTCCTCTTCAACAGAAACTTACAGAAACACAGTTTGAATACACAATGCCATTCAGAAAGTGTTGTCTAACGATTACACTTTCTCAGTAGAGAAAAGATTCTAATATTTTGTGGAGTACCATCCGAGATTCCAAGCCACACTCTATGAGTCAATCACCTAATGGCTAGCTCTAAAATTTATAACTTTCTTACTTTCGCGGCTTCAACAAAAAATGGAAGTCGGACAAAAAGTGTACGGAAATGTATCGAATCAATAATGAAGCTGACTTAGACCATGAAGTTAAATGTTTCGTGGTATGATGTAAGGGAAGCAACTCTTACCGTCTTAGTACGCCATCCAACCTGCTATCTGCACACTAAAGGCATTCACATGTCAGTCTCTTTAACTGATCCCGATTATTTCCATGTCCTCAAATGGACGGAAAACTCACACTCTCAGAATCACTCATCTCATGACTGCGGATTCCACAAAATAGTCTACAGACTGTCTAGATCACGTAGTTTGGGATGATTACACAAAGCCAGATACTGAGTAAGTAATTGTGTGTCAGTACTGCTTTTCGGTTTGGGTCAAATGATACCGATGAATCACAATCTAACACCAAATCGGTTCATGATCAAACATTCATTTCAACACAGTGTGTGATGAAAAAATCAGAACAACTATGCAACAATTTTCATAACGTTTGTCTCAAAATAAAATAGTTACTTTACAAAGTATCATTATTTTGTGTGAAGTTTTAGAAGGGTAAAGTAACAGTGGTACTGTTGCAGGAACAGCCTCAAGGGAGGGGAGCACGTGCAGTTGTGACCTCACATCAAGCATAGCCAATCATTTTTATTAACACGGTACATGAGACAATGAAATTCACCTCTGACATCAGGCCCATTATTTTCAAAGTTTATGACTTTTTTAAGGCGAAAGTGAAAGGGGGCGCCTTAAATATGACATGGGTAAATTTGTTGGACGCACTGCATGTGCAGCTGATATGAAAGGGTTCACCCATTGTAAACATATTTCGAATCGAACTCCAGTCTTCAGCATGATGGGCGAACACTTAACCACACGGCCACCCCTACCTTAAATAGTTGGGTGTTTTGATGGTGACATAGTATGTTTTCAGTCAGTAAAATAAATGTGTTAACCTTAGAACAATATATTGTTATCTCTCGGAAGAATTCGGGAAAACACAGTCCTTCCGCATCTCTTGTTTGTGGCTTTTAAGAGGAACCGATTGTGTGTCTCGGATTGATTCCCCCGAGATGTCGCTCATGCTATCAGTCATTGGTCTAGACTCGAGTATCTACAGGCCGCCCTCCTATACCTGGAGCGCCAATGCATGCGGCGCAAAACAACACACAAATGCCATCGCCATTTACTGCCTTCCCCTCGCAAAGTTGAAAGTGTTAATTGTTCACTTTATATATGTCATGTGATGCATACGGTGGTGATTCAACGGTGTGTGCCTGTTTAGTTGTAATAAGATTTAGAAGAGGCATGCACGTTTAATTTGAAACTGCAACCTATAATTTAAGGTGGTGATAATGTTTCAAACATGCTTTTGTTTTTAGGACTTCTTAAAATATTATTTAACCTTGGTAAGTATATATCACTGGACATGGAGATTATTCTGACCCAGAGTTTTACTATCAAACAATGCACATATTATTGAACAAAAAGTGAAGGTTCGCTTCGTTCTCGTGTGTTACGTGTTGTAGTGTTTGTAGACATTGTTAAACAGCCTTGTGCTTGTATTGCAATGTTTCTGGTAAGATTCAGTTAAGGTACTATAGTTACCATGACGACGTGCTGGTTACATGGTATCGTTTTGACAAATCCATAACCGGTATCAGTGTGGCAGTGTTTGTAGACATTGTTAAACAGCCTTGTGCTTGTATTGCAATGTTTATAGTAAGATTCAATTAAGGTACTATAGTTACCATGACGACGTGCTGGTTACATGGTATCGTTTTGACAAATCTGTAACCGGTGTCAGTGTGGTAGTGTTTGTAGACATTGTTAAACAGCCTTGTGCTTGTATTGTATTATGTTTACTTTGCGACTTAGTGAGGCAGATCAGACTTTGTGTCCTCAAGTAGTCAACAGGTCTGTTAAATGCACCAGTCTCTTGTTATAGCGACAGTTATTATCAAACACTGAAATAATAATAAACACTACATTGGCACTCGTCTTTCACACATGTGCCTCTGTGTGTACTCAAATATATTAAAGGTCACATGCAACGTAAAACACAACTTTGCAGATTCTGATACCTTTCGGTATGGACTTACCGAAACAAATCATCAAAAATGCAAATTCAACTTATAAAGTTGAAAAACAACGCGATGAAAAAATCCGCGCGAAATCGTAGTTCAAACGATTCACTAATTTTTCCCTAGCGTTCGGGGGGAATTCAAGTGGTTCCAACAGCTGGGTTGCGCTCATAGCACGTGCTCAGTGAAATAGGTTCGCGCAACTTGGAAGCGGGTTGTCCGGTGAATGCTCGGTGAAGGTTTGGGTGTGAGCTATTTTTCTAATGTTTTGTTTGTATCTCACAGGCGCGAGCTTTTTATATGTTATGACAGTAAATTAACTGTTTATATAATTTCATTTGTCTATTTCACCAAACGTTCTTCCTACCTAGTCACTTTCTCAGTTCGATACTTAAAAGCAATGTCATTATTTAGCGTTGACAGAATTTCTAACTGTGATATATAGATATGTCGTTGTCACAGACAAAACTCGATGTCTTGTATTTTTGACACCTGTGTGTCTGCCTGCCTGTCTGCTAATGACAATATTCAATACACAAGTGCGATCACTGACCACATGCAGTTTGAACTTAACACCCCCGATCAGGCTATTCACCATAGACAAAATGCATTGATTTATGGCCCGAGGTCGATCTCTGTCACTTTATGTAATTACACAGACAGGCAGGTGTGATACTTGAACACATGACATGTTATGATGTCTGTTGATTGCAAAATGTTATACACAAAACATGAGCATGTATTTACAAAACCCAACATCTCTATATATATGCACACACAATGAGCCGTGAGGGCATATGTAAAATGAACCAGCCGTTACACTTGAGTGCACACCCACCCGCTCTGACTGGGTTCGGTATCCCGGCTGCTTCGTTTCTTGGGAAGTAAACCCAAGTACACAATATTGCACTTTTGATTTGCGATTGTACGCTTATAATTTTGTGTATATGTTTTTTTATAACCAGCAATGTATATTATATGTCATGAATAAGTGATAATTGTGTCCTAATTATGTTTAACTTTTTGGTTGCATGTGACCTTTCAGGTTCCGACACGTGTACTTTACATATGTACCCAAGTGTCTCTGTGTGTACTCAAATATATTAAGGTACCGGCAAGTCTACTTCACACATTTACTCAAGAAGGTGATTGCTCTGTTAAATGTGCCAATCCTTTTTGTTGTGACAGTTACAGTGCCCGGTAACATTGGAATAACTCTGCTCCGCCACTTGCTCTTAATAAATATACTCAAGTACCTCTCTGTATACTCAAATAAATCCAGGCATTCTGTGTACACAAATCTAAACAAAGTATATTTATTTACACATAGGCATCCCGGTACATTTATTTATACAAAAGTACCTTGGTATCTTTGTATACACAAATGTGCCCTGGTACATAGTGATTAAAGCAACTGCTTGTCACGCTGAAGACCCGGGTTCGATTCACTTAACAGGAACAATGTGTTATGTCCATTTCTGGTGTCCCCGCCCGTCATTGTCTGAAATCTTACACAAATCAACGTTTATTCTGCAAAGTGTCCTCAAATGTTGAATCAGTAGTAAGTGTGGCCACCACTGGCTTCAATACACTCCAAAACACGTCGACGCATTGATGACGTAAGACGACGAATGACGTTAGGCGTGGTCCGTTGCCATTTCTGTAGGAGACATTGGCCCAGTTGTTGAGCGGTGACATGTGGCGCTAGTAGTCTTCTGATTTGTCCATTTAGGTAGTTCCATAAGTGTTCTTTATCTTTAGGAACTCATGCATAGTATAGTGCATAACATCGGCTCTCGTTCCATGTTTATGCAGCCCTTAATGATTGCTATTGATTCTCTTATTCGTTAAGTTTCGGTATTGACCTGCTCTCATATCCACAAGTCACTGAGGTTTTGCATTTAATGCAAAATAATACATTACATAGCAAACACTATCAGTTTTGCCTAATCTTTATACATGTATAAAGTATCTTCAAACAATCGTTGCATTTTTGTCTCATCTCCAACTTCAACCAGCAAGAGATGTTTTTGACTCACGTAATTTATTTATCAACATGAATAGTACTCCATCTTCAGTTACTAAGGATTACAGGAATGAACTAAATTCTAATTTAGATCTAAACACATACCAACAGAGTGAACTAAAATCAAAACTTTAAACCAATCTTTTTATGTTGATATGCGTCAATTAATATGATAGATTTGTTCTGTGGTCAAACATACATGTGCAATTAGCCTGATATTTTCAAAATTAATTTCAGTGACAGAACGTTCAGACGTCTGGCACATAATATCAGTAGTTAATAAGTTAATATCTGGATGTTGGCTGCGTACTTGTATTGTTGACATTCAGAGAAGAAACTGTACTGGCTTGGAGTGAGTGAGTGAGTGAGTTTAGTTTTAGGCCGCACTCAGCAATATTCCAGCTATATGGCGGCGGTCTGTAGATAATCGAGTCTGGACCAGACAATCCAGTGATCAACAGCATGAGCATCGATCTGCGTAATTGGGAAGCGATGACATGTGTCAACCAAGTCAGCGTGCCTGACCACCCGATCCCGTACGTGGGCTTTTACGACAAGCATAGTCGCCTTTTATGACAAGAATGGGTTGCTGAAGACCAATTCTACCACGGATCTTCACGGGTCGTACTGGCTTGGAACAGCCTGTGTAAAAGTAGAGTATGTGTACATGTCTACGGTCCACTTATGATCCATGTGCACCAATCAAACATTGTAGTGTATTAATTTTCACAGTAACAGGTGGAATATGGTTTGAGTATGAATCAGTTATCTATTCTGTATTACTACATGTGAATACTTTGATGTTACCTGAGATGAAATTACAAACATACACGTGGCCACGTCCATCTGCACAAACACCGTACGGACGATCTACACCGTCACCTGCTGTAAGAACGTTCCTAACAAGCTGGCCTGACTCGGTCAGATGAACCACATTATCCTGAAAGTATAGAGCAACCAGAATGTCACCTGTGTTGGTACTTGTGATGCCCTGAGGATTCACCTTTGTTGTGTGTCCTGTCGGGGGGTAGGTGAACACAACGTCCCCTTCAGGTGTCAGACACAAGACACGGTGGGAACCATTGTCGGACACTAGAATGTTTCCTGTTCTTGTGGTGCAAAGAGAGAGGCCTCTGCAGAATCTTCGTTCCACTACAGAGTGGGCTGACTGACCTTAGTACGTTTCCTGTCATGTCCAGAATATCCACACAGGGAGGAGACTGGCAACCTGCTGCAAGTGTTGATGGGGTCAGAGATGTTATACCCAAGTACTGTTTGTTTGTTGTGATGGTTGACAGCAGCATCAGGTCAGGGTTGACTTCAACCGTTATGATTCTTTTATTGCTTACAGTGACAGCCACTTGATTGTGTTGTAACTTTGTCAGACCCCACGGTTTACTATCCAGGCTGAGCTTGCTATGGCATGACTGATTATCTCTGGTATAGAAAGACTTCACACTCATGTTGGTATTATCTGTGGTTACAACTGTATGTGTACCATGTGTCACTAGCGCTGTCACGTCACGAGGCCTTGCATCACTCTGATCTCCTGCTACATTGACGTTGATCGTGTCTCGTAACACAGGTGTAGCCGCCAGGTCCAACACACCGTCATACAGAACGTCTATCTCACCCAGCTGTAGATCGTCCACTGCTCTACTCAGCTTGTCCGAGTCCTGTCTGAACGTGATCCTGGCTATTCTTCCCTTCTCCTTCAAGTCTGTGTGTCCGACATCATCAACATCACCGGCATCACATCCCTGGTACATCTCATACACATCCATGTCACACTCAGATTGTAGAGTCTGGTCAATCAGTTCAGCCTGTTGTCGGTACATCTGTACTGATATCTCCCCTGACTTAATGTCGGCGTTCAACTGTTCAATGTGCCTTTCTGAGATTTCTTTCAGTTTATCTAAAAGTTTATTTTCCTTGAGAGTGATTGTTTCCCTTGCCTTTCTTCCTGAAGACTTGATCTTCGATTCCATTTGGACATATCGATCTTTATCCGTGATGACATTCGATTTAACTGCATCAACTTTCTTTCCAATAAGAATTTGTTTCTGTCGTAGGTTTTCCTTCTCATTCAGCAGCTTGGATTTTAAAGCAGGCAATTCCGACTCAAGTGTGACAACTGACTCACATTTTCTGTGATAGATAATACAACAGGTTTGGCAGGTGAGTTTCTTGCAATCTTTGCACAGGAATTTGACACACTCATCTTTGTGTTCATTACATGACTTTTCGCTTCGGGGAATATTGACCTCGCCAGAAAGGTCAATTACATCATGATGGCGAGTGGATGGGAAACGTTTGTGCATTCTAGCACATCGGTCACACAGGGATTCGTCACACACTGAGCACCATACAGATGCAGGAGTTGTCTCCCCTTCTGCATGACAGCAGGTGCAGTTTGTTGTATCTTGAGGGGAAAACATCAAAGAAAAATTTAGGATCTAATTGGCAATTTCCAAATTACAATAACGAAGGAGTTCATACAGAGAGCAAAGTTTACTTTTTGTCATCATTCTTCAAGTACCATGTAAATCATGTCAAGATCTGTGACTGATCGATCTACCATTAAATATTCTAGGATTGGTTGGCTTGAATATCAGATTATAATATAGGTCCCTGCAACAATCCATGTAACTGCCTTTCAGGTGGGAAAGGGGAATTTTCTGCAAAATCTGATCACAAACAATCTTTCTCAGAGCATCATTGTCTCTAGCATGTATTTATTTTAAATTACGCTTTAAAATCCTGACCACCCGCCACCCCCACCACCAACCACACACACTCATCACACACCACACCTTAACATCTTAAACGAAAAAGGTAACGACACATTCAGGCCCTACATATCCCAGCCCCATATATAGACACTGAAGGTAAATTTATGACTGTAGCAGAAAATTGTGGGATGCCGAAGTGTGGCGTCTGTATTACCGGTAGGGCTGAACATGCATTTCGCGAACACTTGGTGTCATCGCTGATCTCTAGTAATGTATTTAGTGACTTACAAGATTTTCACAGATAATATGTGTTTTAAACCAAAAGGAATCTGACACAAAACACTTAAACGTAGTCCACAGACGACCCTGTTTATACGGCATAAGCTAACGTGGTGGGGATGTGAGATAAACTACCAAACCTCACCTTTAGATCCAGGACCAAAGGAGTCCAACAGTCCCTGGATGACAAAACTTGGCTTGACATCATCCGCCCATTCCTCCACTGGTCTGTCAGGATCAGACACTTTCGTCATCTTGCTGCAGAATGGACACAGAAGAGACTTGGCACTGATGGCTTCTTGTTTGGTTTTTGTGTAGTTGACGACGCATTTCCGACAGAATGTGTGATAACACACAAGCGTGCATGGATTGTCAAACACCTCTGTGCATATGGTGCATGTGAGGAAATGTTCCTCCAGTTTCTGGGATGTTGCCATCTACAAACAGACTGATGGTCAATGATCTATTCAAAATTGCAAATAATATAAATTAAGAGAATACATGCTGCAAAATGGATAAAGTAGAATTAACATAAAGAACACGTTTACAGTTTTGAGATCTATCGTATTTCATCACTAATTTGCATTTAGTGTATACTTATGAACACTAAGATCCAACAATACTAAATTAAATTAGCATTGTAAACCAAAACTCACTGTGTTCTTTACTTTGATTGGTTGATTAACATGATCAAATGGTATTCGCTTCCCGGAAATTTGCTGCGTATTAATACATACAAACATCGCTCACACCATTGTATTGTTACGTCGTTAGCTGAGATGACGTCATTCAAATCATATTGTGACGTAAAGGCCGAATGACGTCTGAAATGAGCAGTTCAGATGCTACCATGGGGAGACAGCCGAAATGGCCGGCTGATGACATTTCACTGCTGTACCCGTACTCTATGTCAATGAGTGCAGACACAAAAACGTCCGTGGACCTTTTGGTTTACTTTTTTGTGTTTTACAATGTCGATAAACATCATGTGTTGGCAAATTTCCGGGTGTTATTGAGTATTTGAAGCACGGGAATATTTCATTTTGCTGCCGTCGGTTCCAAATATCCGCGTTCTCAATAACACCGAAATTGGTCAACACATGATGTTTATCTACTAAATAGCATACGATAGCAATAGCCTTTATGTACAAAATTAGGATTTGATTGATGGATGAATCAATAAACAAGAAACCTGAAATAATATCATAGGGAATTGATGGTCAAAGACTTCTTCATACTGTGACAGTCGTGTATCGCCGCGCTGATAGTGCGCTGACCTACTTTTGGGTTCTCATTTGCATAACGAAAGTAGACTTTTATCAATAGCTTTGAGCGAAAACAAACCAGAAAATATTTCAATACATATGATTCATTTTCTCAAAAATGAGTTCTATATATACATGTAGGTATGATAGAGTTAAGGGTTATATCTCTGGAGTCAGTGTATCTATATATGACAACAGACGTACGTGAGGTTAGAGAAGTGGATCAAGTGTACATAACGATAGTGGACAAAACAAGACGCGCCCGGGTGTACGACACGAATGTGACGCTGAACCAACACAACGGCTGAATTAGTAGCTTAATTTGTCTTTATACACTCTCTAGATATCGCTCTGTAATAATGTGACTAAAGCATGTCATTATTAGCGTTATATTACACATAAAACCAAGTAGATATCGACTGCATATCACCTCACCTTCACTTCCTCGATTCACTGGGCGGTGAAGAGGGAGATTGAACCCTGTGATATATGGTTGCAACCCGAGATAATGAATGGGGTTTTGCAGCGTGGAATTAGCATCATAAATACTAGTATATAACTTGCAGATTTATTTTTGTAATGTAAGAAGGAAACACATGCAATGGAAGTGTCGTCGTCACTTGTACTTCAACAGTTTGAAACAAACTCATTCTGTTTAAAAAGTGTTATAAATAGATGCATTGTTGATAAACTGACATTTTCAATAATCATTTGACTTTAGTGAACATTTTTGTGGTTATTATCAATAAACTCCGTACATGTTGTGCCTGAGTTTGAGGTAATGACTAACTTTAGTTTTTATACACTAGCTCATAACATCAATAAGTTTTGTTCTCTTAAAATGTGTACCTGATATAGGCTATAGTCCTGAGAGGGTACGTAAGTCCCAACACTTTCAAAGTAAGATGTAAATTTCCCACATTTTAATCGTAGTATTTTTGTTCTTTTAACTTCCGGCTAAATTTTCCTCATGTAAATCCAGCTAGGGTCCATGTAGGTAGCAAAGGTACTGTAAGTCCCTATGGTCCCTAGTATGGCGATCTATCTTCTGTTGTTGGCGATCTATAGCCTGTTTTTATATTGTATCGTCCCAATAGTGCTATTAGTTTTAAACTTTCTACGCTAGTTTTAATTCTATTTGTGATATTCTAGTTGTTTTACTGTCCTTCGTCGACAGGTTTTATAATATACATATATTCAACTTCAAAATCAAATATGTATGTTCTCGTCACGATATGGCTGCAATATTGCCGATGTGACGTTAAATAATGACTCACTCACTATAGGCTATAGGGTAGATGAACTTTCCCCGTCTTACTTAGCACCTCAAGCTGATAGCTTTGACTACACTGCCTACTGGTGTCTACAACTGACTGGATGTATGTAAATAGCTGCAATAACAACAGATTGTAACTGTAATTGCTTCGTATCTGGGGTGTTTGATCGTAATCAGGAAGCCTGATACTTATTACTTAAATACGACGACGTTAAACCCAATTTCACCCACCTCACCTGCAAGAAGTAGCGCATTTCTCTAAAATAGCAAATATTTAAACTGTATAGAATCATGTTGTCAAAGAACACAAAATAACTGAAATATTAGTTCAAGGACTATTGACGAACAACACAAGCAAAAAGGGGCAAGAGATCACTAGCAGCCAAAGTTAGGTCACCATACTAGGGACAATACTGACGTCAGCACTGTTCAGCCGTGAATGTTGCACACCGAGGAGTAGTTGGTTGCTTGGTCTGTTATTGTTTCGTTTAACGCCGCACTCAGCAATATACCAGCTATATGGCGTCA